GTTCAAACTAATGTCGTGCCGGCACGAGAGAGAGAATGGACTAGAATGAACAGCACTGAAACACCCGCCACATGACAAAGCACGCCCAAGTCTGCAGGGCAGAAAGGGCGCCTTTGTTCCTTCAGGCTGCTATAGCAGATTCCCAGGCTGGTGGCTTGGACAACATTTATTTCTCACGGTTCTGAAGGCTGAGAAGTCCAAGACCAAGGTGCCTGCGGATCAGGTGCGTGGGAGAACCTGCTTCTGAGCGTGCAGATGGCCGTCTTCTCTGCATCCTCAAGTCTCTTCTTAGGGCAGTAGGCCCACCATGAGGGCTCCACTCTCAGAACTTAATTACCTCTCAAAGGCCCCATCTTCAAACACCAGCAGGTTGGAGATTAGGGTTTTAACATATGAATTTGGGGAGGACACCAATTCAGCCCACCGAAGACAGTATTCAACAGTGGGGAGAAAACTGGTATGTGGGGGGGAGCCCTAAGTGAGAGCCTTTATCTCACTGATGATCCTCGTAAGAATTCCACAGGAATTAGATCAGCTTTCAAATGTCTCACCCACAGAAGCACCTTCTACACTGCACCCCAGCCTGTATAGCCCCTCTAGAATTACCCTTACCTACATGCAATGCACTGGTATTTTCCGTATCAATTATCTTCTGTACTTTGAAAAATGGTGGTTGCAACCTACTTTATTTCACAATCAGTGCACTGGTAAATCACAACCAGTTACTAGATAGGTAATTCTTTTAAAAGAAATTAAAGGTATAAAATAATTAGACCAAAATACAAGGAGTATCTTCCAAGAGGAAAGTTTTTTAAACTTTAAAACAAGAAAACCATAAAGAAAAATAGTATCATGAAAAAAATGAAAAGACAGATTGGGGAAAACATTTGCAGCGTATGTTTGGTAAGGAATGAATATCTTTGATATACAAAAAGCCTTTACAGGTAAGTAAGACAACCCCTTTAAGCATGGACAAGGACCTGAATCTGCAATACTTTAAAGAAATACGAGTGGCAATGAAAAAAGGAGGGGAGCTGAGGTTCATGATGAAATCGAAACACGGGCACCACCTGTGGGCCTTAAAATCTATACAACCTTCCTGGAAAAGAACTTTGGCAAATTTCTTAAGTCTGAGAGGATATTCTTGTATTTTATTAAGTAACATTATTCCTAGAAATATCTCGCAAGGACACATTTAAAGAAAAATATAAAAATAAGAATGTTTACTGTAGCGTTGCTTATAACAAATTATAATAGGAGAATGTTTAGTTAAAATGTAACTCGGGTGGAATACTAAAACCCACAAGCAACATTATTTCAAAGGATAATTAGCTATATGATACTAAAGGGTAAAACATGATTCCAATTTCATTAAAAAATGTGTGCACTCATGCAAAGAAAAAGATTAAAAGGAGACACACCAAACATTACAAAATGGTTCTGTCAATATGATTTTATGTTCCTTCTTTATGCTTTTGGCATTTTCCAAAATGCACTCAATGAATATCTTTACTTTTAAAACAACAGATTAAAAATACATTAAAGAAAAAGAAAAAGATTTGGTTAAGTTCTTTTTCACCTGTGGCTCTGTCTCAATTTCTTAAAAGCGCCAGAGACAGAAGGGAGTTGGCGTAACCTTGAGCCCCATGCTCCCTCCCTACCTTGGAAAATGTCCACACTCAGCGGTTCCATGAGCGGTTCCAGGTGCTGCACTTCAGTGTTCAGAGTCCCACAGACACTGTCCCATTTCATTCTCCAGTTATGACCAAAAGGAGAAAAAAGAAACCAAGTAGATTTATCACTGCCTATGGCCATGCTGCAGTGTAGACCCGGAACTGGAGCTTCTGGGCCCAAATCTGGTCCCTCCGCAGCGGACAGCCTCGGGTGGTGCTCACCCTCTCACTTCCCGGACCTGAACCTACCGTGAAAACCACCAAGAGGCTTTGCCAGTCTCACAACCACGGGAAGGTACTTAGTGCCACAAACTGTACACTTGACAATGGCTCCGGGCCCAGGGCCTGCAGCTCACCACGATAAAGGGAGGGGCAGACTTGGCTGGGTGGAGAGGAATTAACAAAATCAAAGTTGGGCTGGAAACAGCGTTTGTTTCATAGGTGTAACCATATTGTGGTGGCATCCAGAGTCAGGAGCCAGCTGCCCCTAAGTTATTAGAATGCACCTAACCAGCAGCCCTAAGTGGGTGCCCGAAGAGACCCCAAACACCGACATCCCAACCACAGGGTCACTGTCCTGTTCGGAGAAGGGTCAGTATAAAGAAGGCCCATGCCACCACGCAGCATGATCACTGACCCACTTGAGGGGTGTGCTCATCACAAATAAATAGCCATTTAAATACCAATTTCTCGTGGACGCCCGGGTAATGAAATTGCATCAACTCTAGCAGCCAGGACAAAATTAAGTTTCTGAACCTGCAGCGTTTCAGCCCAGTTCTGGAACATCGTGACCACATAAGGGCCACTAAGGCAGCTGCAAGCTGTCTCTGGACTTCAGCGACTGCACTGCCAGGCAACACGCCCTTTCCCTTCTTCCAAACTAGAAAAGATTCAGCTACAACAGGGCCAAGGGCAAGCCTACTAGATGCTTCCCTGTTCCATTTCCATTGGGAAATCCTTTGTAACTTTAGCTTCCAGAAGGTTTAGTATGTCCTCCGTTTGAGCCATTACTACCCAGAATGAATATGCCAGGCAATTTTTAGAGTGGTTATTTCCAACTACGGGCTTTTTCCATTTGATATTCCTCACCTCCTAGAGCGTGACTTATAATCCCCGTCATTCTCAGAACTATTTCCATACTAAAAATTATACATATGTGTAAAAATCCATTCTAGTGCCGACGAGTGGTCAGGTTCCTCACACCAGCCAGCCGGCCTGTGCAGAGGGGCGAGCACCACCTCCCCATGCTTTCTTCCACTGCTCCTATTTGGATGGTGCCTGCTGATCCACTCAGTGCTGTGGCCTCCGTTCGGCCAGTTTTGTGAACCAGCATACAATTTAGACGCATGATTTGTTCAGCAGGAGGGACAGTGTTGAGGTGCCACAAAAGCAAACACTACACTAGATTAAAAGAAAAACAAATTTTGCGCGAGTTTCCTTCAGACAAACAGTCACATGAAGACATCACACACACCACTGAAGCCTGGGAGGACTCAGCAGTAATATCAGTGCAGCTGCGAACAACCCCGGCTGCGGGATGCCATGAATTCAGATTCAGTTCCTCGCACCTCTCCTCGCCGTGTCCTTGGGGTTTTTCTTCTCTCCACTGACGGAGCCCCAGACCTGGGTGCTCTTCTTATGCACACTCGCCCCCTTGGGAAGCTCACCCAGCCTTGTGTTCACTGTCACGGAAACACCAAATCTCTACCCCATCCCAAACTCTCCCCCCAGGTCAACGGGGCCTGCGGCCGCACTTCTACAGATGTAACTCACGCCCACACCCGGTTCCTGACCTCCCTGCCCAAGTCCGCTGCACCCACGGCCTCCTGCAGCTGCTGCGGCCAGCACTCGGGAGTCACATACTTGACTCCTTCCCTGTTCTCACGCCGCACGGGAAACCCCACCAGCTCTGAATCGGAAACAATCCCAGGAACCAATTCTCACCGACTCCGTTACAACCAGGAGCCCCGTCTAAGGGTCTAAGTCGCCATCACCTCTTGCACCGCCCTTTCTCCTTTCGTCACAGTTCTCGTTCAAGCGCGTCGCCATGCCAGCCACAGGGCCTTCCTCCGCTGTTCCCCGTGCCTAGGGCACTTCCCCAGGCACCCGCTTAGCTGACTCCCTCCGTCCGAGCCCGTGCTCCCATCTCCTCAGCAAGCCCTGCCCCCCCAGTTACCTACCGTTCTGCGACCTGCGCTCCTCCACTCCAAACCCCAATTTCCTCACCGCACGCTTGCCCTTAGTGACCACCTAACATACTCCATTAACTTTACTCCCTTGTTCTGTATTTGTATCTCAGGGAGAGTGTCGGATCCTTGGGGCAGGCATCTTTTTTTCCCCCAATGTTCTTCAGTGATGTATATAACAAGCAACCAAATCATCCCTGGCAGAGTAGGCAATAAATATTTGTTAAAGGAATATACAATGTTAAGAATTAACTTCCGTAGGACTTATAACAGCCTTACCTATGGCATCAATGTACCCAATGTTCTTGCTCTTGAGATCCCAGCCTGATGCGCAAACATCTCTTTGTATTAAGGCTTCAAAAGTCCCAAACCTAAAGCCTCAACACCTACTTGACATCAAAACATACTAATACATGAAAATTTATTTACAAATTAACCTCACACCACCTATTTAGTATTCCTGCCAAAAACATTTAAACCACAATCTAATAAGGATACAACCAGATTGTAATAAGGGCACACCCAGATTGCAAGACATTCTGCAACAGCTTAATTTACACTGACTCATTTAAATATCTCAGTCATGAAAGACACACCACACACGGGAATATTCTGGATTAACAGCAATATGGCAACCAACCACATGTGATCCTTGATTTGATCATGAATGGCTCGTTTTTCAAAATCAAAAGTTGGAAAGAAAAATTAATTTCACGAGACACCACCACACAAACTTTGTCATCTAGATTAGGAGTGGAACACAGTGAGATACCCTGTAACCTAATTTAACTCTGAATTCATCTAAACCAAAAAATAGTAAGCAATTACTGCTCAGTTGTTCTTTCCTTCTTCGGGTAGTCAGGTGCAGGGAAATCTGACTCACAGACCACAAAGCAGGAACTACAAGAACACATGCATCCTGGTAAGGCCACGGTCGGCCTGTGGCAGCCAGACCCAGCCAAGGAGGACTGCGTCAGTCAGAGCAGAGTTCCTGGTTCTTCCCCTTCATGACAAACGTGGGTTACCCAACACGCACTGGAAGCATCTACCTAATGATGCTGGTGGAGAGTCTGCTTTAAAACCTTCACGCCACACGTCCAAACGTGTGGTCATTTCTCTACATACACCACAAGACAAGAAATGGATAAAGATGAAATTTATTCACTTTACAAAGAGAATGGTATTAAATTCCCATAAACAGCTCCATTTATAGACAAATATAACTGTACATTATAACAGTAGCTGGCGCAAACTTCCTTTCCCAATATGCTCCTGTAGCCCCAGCTCTATTGGTTGAGCACAGAAATCTGTTCTGCCACCGATGGCTCAAGTCCCTCAGAGAGAATGGTTTTCTTTTACGTATTCACAGGTGAGGGAAAACCAAGTCCCCAGCCCTCCTCAGAGATGAGCATCCATCTGCCTGTTCCCTAGAGAGCGCTAAACAAATACTGGCTTGTTCTTTAAAAAAAAAAAAATTAATGATCATTTGAAAAGGCTTTTGTTGCACACCAAAATACTTATTTATACATACATAAAAAATCTCGAGTCAGATTTATTATTTTAAAGGTAAACAGATACCCTAACACTGCCAAGAGTGGGTAATGAAAAGGAAGGAAAACATTAAATTACTGAATTATAAAAATATTTTCTTTGGGAAAAAACTCCAACAAGGTTATCATTAATATCTAAAACCAAAGAGAAAAAATAAACAATTGTTCTTTGACCCATTAGTAATTTAAATAAAAATGAAAGCCTCTTCAAAAGCAGCTATAACTGAATTTTTTGAAAGTTGCAGGTATGAGCACTTCTAAATCTATATACTAATGATTCTTCACAGGCAACTCGCAGTCAAGAAAAATCCTTAATATGGCTAACTCTTGAATTTTTTAATTACCATAATTTGTGTTTTTAAAAAAAATTTCACATGACAGCTTAAAAAATAAGTGGTTGTTTTAGGGAAGCCCTCCAAATGTCCAACCTGACTCACATCAGATTTCCACAGTTAACAGACAAGTAAGGGACACTGGAGATTTCATTTTTTAATCACGATCATTTTTACCCGTTCTGTTACCCCTCCATAGTTTATGAAAATGTACCAAATTAAAAGTTTTTCACTCGTGCTGCTTCGTGTGGATTTGATGAAAGATACCAACCTGAGATAAGAGCTGACTCCTTCAAAAAAGTCCAGTTCTTGAACCCCTATCTGGGAAGTGTCTGTCCTCACTGATGCCAATTCTTAGTACAACCAAGTCATACAGGGACATTATTATATTATAAAAATATACTGTATATTGGACACTGATGTCAGTACATTGCAGAAAATGTGTCTATTTACTGTGTAAAGTTTATTAACATCTGCATGAAACACTCTTATTTACACAGTTCGGTCCTGCTCAGGACAGCAAGGTGGCACAGGCACCACCGCGAGGAGCTGGGAAATGTGCAATGGTCCTTGGCATCCCGTCAGACAACCACCGGAGCTCGGCAGCACTGCGCAGGCGAGCGGAGCTTCTACAGCCCCACAGCTACTTGTCCTCACTCCTCCTCGCTTTCACTTTCCGGATCTAAGTCGGAATCTCCATTTAATTCCTTCTCACTGGCCGCATCTCTGTCCTCGCCGGTCCCCTCGTCTCTGTCCTCGCCGGTCCCCTCGTCTCTGTCCTCCGAGTCCTCCGCGCTCTCGTCGTCGACGCCCTGCTCCTTCTCGCTCTCCTCCTCCTCATCCCAGTTGTCCTGGGAACGGGAAGCAGGAAAGCACGCATGAAGGCCCGTCTTACCGAGGACAGCCCAGAGCAGACCTAGGTACCAGCCAGCACATTACTCACATCGGAATCTTTATCCAGCTCATCGTCAGACTCCTCTTCAGAAGACTCTGCAAGGGAAGGAAAACGCAGCGTTAATTCTGTGATCAAAGCAGAGGGCAAAGCCCTGAAACTAAACAGAATCAGACACCGAGATTTACTTTCAGAAATATTACATTCAACTACAACCCACTTAAGTAGTAACATTAATATTCTTATGTGCATAAAAGCACATGCACATTACAGAATTCCATCAAGACTCCACTGAGCAGGGTGAAGTACCACAACGCTAACAAAACGCCATCTTAAAAAAATAAACCCAAGGATGTGGGAAAAAAATGGAACCTTGTATGTTGTGGATGGAAATGTAAACTGGTGCAGCCACCAGGAAAACAGTACAGAGGCTCCTCAAGAAATAAAAAATAGAACTACCTATGATCCACCAATTCTAATTCTGAGCATAGACTAAAGGAAACAAAATCAGGATCTAGAAGAGATATTTACACCCATTGTTCACTGCATATTTACAACAGCAAACAACCTAAGTGTCCATAACAAAAGAATACGAAAATATGGCACATATATATAATTGAATAGCAATAAAAAAATAAACGAAATTGTGCCATTTGTGACAACATGGATGGGCTTTGAGGGAACTAAGCAAAGTGAAATAAGTCAGAGAGAAAATGATAAATACTGTATGATCTCACGTGTAAAATCTAAAATAACTGAACTCAGATATAGAAAGATATAGAAAACAGACTGGTGATTGCCGGGGGAGGGGAGGGGTGAAGGTCAAAAGGTACAAACTTTAAATTATAAGTCCTGCGTACGTACAGCCATGTTTTTATGCCCTTCAGTTATGCTTATAATGTACAAAGGTTTTGTTTCACTTTTTAAATGTATTTCTAGGTACTTCACAGTTTTTTTATTGCTATGAATGAGATCTGATGCATTTCCCTGATATATTTTCTGACTGGGACATCCATTAGCAGACATACATTACTTGCACATAATGCTACCGATTCCTTTTATTTCTTTCTGATCTTGGTATCCAATCCAGTAAACTTGATTATTTATGAATCTCATTAGTAAGTGTGACTGCACATTCTCTGTGGAGAGGATAATAATTACCATGTTCGATGCTCTAGAATTTGTTCTTTCATACAGTAGGAGGCAGGGCATCCAGAGCAATAAAGGTACACTAGGGTCTTGTTACTGTCTTTCTGAAAATGCTTCTAAACTTTGATGTCGAGTAAGGAAATTCCCTTAAATTCCTAGGTTGCTTACATTATCAAACACTGCGATACATTCAATTTTATTAAATTCATTCTATTAAAATAATATACAGTGTTCCCTGTTAATCTATTAATATGGTAACTACATTAACAGATTTCTTGATGCTAAATCACCTTATAATCTTTAAATAAATTCTACTTGGTAATGACTTAATTACTACTAAGCATTTATATAGTCAATTTGTTACTTAGGATATTTAAGGACGGTCTAAAATGTTTACTATCCTTGTCTGGTTTGGACTCATAAAATGCCTAAATGGAAAAAACGTATTCCCTGAAAGATTGAGAAATTTCATGCACAAAACCTCTGTATCTGTTATCTTATGAGGGGAAAGTTTTGATTAAATCAATTTTAAAGCTATTGGCTTATTCAAAGTTTCTATTATCTTTGTGGCTTATTCAAAGTTTCTATTATCTTTGTAATTTTGGCCATTGATGTTTCCTAACAAATTACCTATATCATCAGGTTTTTAAATGTACTGGCATAAAGTTCATTCAGTATTCTTCTTTTTAAATCTCTTCCATACCTAATGTCTTTTTTTGTCACTGTTATATCTGTGCCTTTTCTAACCTAATCATATTTTGTCTATTTTCACCACAGGCTTGCCCATTTTCTTAGAGAAGGTGTGATCTCATTCACATTGGTATTTTTTACAAAATAAGATAACAGAACTGAGTCAATGTGAAAAATTAAATGCTCCAATTGCAGACTCTGCCCTACACCCACAAGCTTTACCTTCTTCATATACCAGTTTTGCCTTCTGTTCAGGACAAGTCATTCCCTTTGTTTTCTCTGAAGCTGTAACCTGAAAGATAATAAAATGCCTTTATGAAGTAAAGTATAAGTTTATCTCAACTATCACAACCCAACCTTTTCCAACAGTAAACTCACCCTCAACGACCATAACTGGACGCCCTCAATACAACATAAATCAAATACAGGGCAAAAAACAATTTATCAAATACAATAAGGAAAGAATGACTCTGTAAACGTTGAAAATTCTTTAAAAAAGGTGATCAGAATTTCTTTCTGTGACAAAATGTTTTAACTATTTAAATATAAATACCCTGTAACTTTTTGTTCATAGTACCACAATCATCCTAACTATATTAACAACTGAAATATAATGAGAACCTTTGAGTAAAAGTTGAAATAGGCACAACTGAGTTTACTCACTGTCAAATACATAACATTTCCAAGTTCAAGACTGGGTCCTGGTTTGCCAACTTCTTACTGAAATAGGGAGCTTTCAATGTCCAGGTAAATGATCCTTATTCCTTGCTCCATTCCCATCACATCCAAAAGTCTTAGCACAAAACACCTTAATTTACTCACTTGTGTGATTAGAAGGATAAGCTTTCCATGAAGGTGGGAGAGTTTCTGAAAAGTTTTTACTCTGCTTTCCATTAACTGGTATAGTGTCCCCAGCTGGGGTACCAGGTCAGGCAACTAAAGAAAAAAAAAATCATTTGATACTATGATGACATAATATAGTTAACATACAAATCATGCTCAGATGTGCCTGAGTATTTAGCCACTGCACCACGAGCCATCTGCTTGCATTTCCAGTGGCGGTGGCTGCTTATGATAATAGTGTAGCAACATCTCAAACTTTCGGAGGCTTTCAATGTACTAACAGCAAAATATAACACAGTTTAAAAAATAACGATGTAAGATCAGGAGGAGAAACTGCAAGGTAGGAAAACATGCAGGGTGAAGCTTCTTTTTTCTCAAAACACTATTTCAGAGACGGTCAATATAAAGGAGACACTAAATTAAAAATACCCCCCACCGCCCAGCCAGGCGTGGCTTAGCAGCTGAGCTTCGTCCTAGGATCCAGGAGACGGTGGTTTGATTCCCAGTCAGGGCACATGCCCAGGTTGCAGGCTCGATCCCCAGTCGGGGGGCGTGCAGGAGGCGGCCGATCAATGACTCTCTCATCATTGATGTTTCTAGCTCTCTCTCTCCCTCTCCTTTGCTCTCTCTAAAATCAATAAAGATATATTAAAAAAAAAAAAAAAATACCCCCACCACCTCTCTCAGGGCTAAAGGGTACTTCCCTCTGAAAAACCTACTCTCTGATAATGTCACATTATCTATCTCAACCATAAGGCCCCCAGCGAGCTGGAGGGAACTTCACAACTTCCAGAGACCACCAGGACAAAGTGACAAGAGTACAAAGCTGATCTGATAGTATTTCAAACACACTGTTAATTAACCCTCTGAATCATGCTTAAGAAATGAAAGCAGTCATTTCTTTTGTCCCTCCAGAGCTACAGAAAAAGGGACCCACTCCTTGCCCTTAATTAGCCTTACTTGCCCTATCTGATACTTTAGTGTAAGTAAAAGTATTTCATTCAAATGTTAAATTTTAAACATATATACATACACACAAAAATGAAAATGCAGCTCAATATAATGGCATTTCAATTACCATCATCTCCTTTTCCTTTGTCCCCATTCAGATTATAAGCTCCAGGAAGAGAGGATCAGTGTCTTGTACATTACCAAAGCCCCCATGCCTAGATGGTCCTTGGCTTAGAAAAGGTACTTAAAGGTGCCTGATTATAACAGTAGAAATAAAGGAAAAGTGCGAGGAAAAGCACCATTTTCTGAGGAGAGAGAATTGTTGTGGGTTGATGGTCCCTCCTAGACCAAACTTCTTTTGCCTGCTTTGTATGACTTTGAATGTTACACAACTACTCCAATAGTTTTCCCTTAGGAGTTGATTCCAGAAGGGATTCTACTACTAGGCCTCCTTGGGCTCTTTTCACTTCTAAACAAGTCGCTTAGATCCCCAAATGAGTGCTGTCCTGTTTGCCAGCCAGAATCCTAAGACCTGATGCTTCCAGTGATCCTTCCAGCCCATCACCATGCTACTCGGCCACTCGACTCATCTCCACCCCCAATTCATCCCCCAAGATTTCTGCAAGCAGGGAAACCTAATATCATTCCTTACTGTTTCTGGTCTCTTTCCCCATTCTAACATCCTGGCAGAGTTCTCCATGGACATACAAAGAACAAACTGCTGACTGCAAAGCAGCTTATCCAATAGTTTTTCCCTTTCAAACACATGAGGGCGGGAGAGTGAAAGAACCAGGGTAGCGACGAGGCAGGAGCTGGGTGAAGCTGTGTTAAGAAAGGAAGGGCTATAAAGAGCAACTGAAAATTTACTTAAACTATCCACTACACCCTTTTTAAAAAAAACTATTGTAAAGTGCCAAATACATGTATGACAATAAAAGAAAAATTCTTCTACCTTAATATGTAACTCATTTAATGGTGTGGCAAAGAACCCAGCTCATACTGTGACATTTAACATTTTTACTGGTGCTGCAGTAAGATACTATGTTCCCTCCCTTCCATGTGCACAACCAAGAGCTGAGGGCAGCCCCAGTATAACCACAAGCTACCTTTTACCCTCCCGGGACAAGGTAGGGCAGACATGTTAGCACATATACAAAACTTCTGAAATCTACTAAGTGTTTAAGAGAGAAGGGAAAGACACAGACAATGTAAAGATGATTTTGCGTGAACAGGTTACGGATATAAAACCACCTGAAGGCTAATAGGTCAATATATAACTTTCTCCAAGTTCTCCATAAACATGTCATTTTTAAGTCCGGGGGAAAAGACCAATTTATAAAAGGAAACAGGGTGACATTATGACACTGTACCTGGGGAAAAACAAAAATCTCTAGAAGCAGCAGCTGATGGCTGAAGGACAGATAGAGGGTGGTTTTGTTAAGCCATCAGTTTATAACCCTTACCAAAGCCAAACTATTCAGCAACTGTAGCCAAAAAGACTTACTGTGGACAAGTATGATGCGTGGACTGTTAACACACATTTTAGCCACTGAACCATTAAAACAGCACTGAAAAGAAACAGGGGGAAAAAACAAGTAAACTAACGTACACAAGTTCAAAATTAAATACAACTAGCCATAAAATTAGAAAAACTCAGGCAAAGTGAAGATCTACAAACTGTGTTCTGAGACGACAACTACAGTGAATAAACCAGAGAATTTGACAGTCCTTACATTTCACTGAGTATTTCAGATCTGTGTAATATACTGATCTCTTGGGGAGGGTGGAGGAAGTAAGATGGACTGCAATGCAGAACAAAATTCCCTTCCTCTAAAATAATGTAAGAATAAAACTCAAGCTTTTCCTTCGTAATTAACTGCTATCAGGGCACTAACCTGGGCTCAACTGACTTTGCATTTTATGTTCACAGTATTTGAGCCCACCATCTACTTATCGTCAGGTACAAACAGCAAAGGATCCCTGCACCAACATTATAAACAGATACACACCAAGAATGTGTAAGCCAGGCCTGAGGAATTCTTTAGCTTTCCTTTGTGAAACCTATCAGGAAATAACTTAGAGAAGAAAAACTGCATATTGTAGACACTCATAATACTATAGTAAAGCTTAGGATCTCTGAAATATCAACCATTTAAATATCTAGTCATCTAATTATTAACAAAAAAGACCCACAAATTTAGTCTTTTATAACATATTGCCTTACAGTGTCTTAGCAGCTACCAGAGGTTAGGCAAGTTCTACAAATGGCTATTTTACACCAAATCATTAAATAAGACTAATTCATTAAATGACCTGATAATAAAACTAAAAAACCTACAGAGTTTTCTAAAAGAAAGAAAAAAACTATAATGAAATATTAAGAATAAAGAATCTTTCAACTTAAAACGTGGGGACAGCAATATCTGACAACTGAAGAGTTTTATTAGTCAGAACCTGGGGCTACCTCCTATGCAATCTCATGCTGTCGGGCATTGCTGTTTTTAATAGTAACCTTTAAAGTATTTATAAAAGCAAAGCAACTTAAGTCATTTAAACATCTTACCTATTAGGATGTCCTTGCAATCTCTTTGTAAGCTGAGGGGGAGAAAAACAGTATAAGCAACAACAGCACTTCGGAGACAGCCATTGGCCATCAATTCCCATGATACACACATGCACAAAAGCAAAGGAACATAATGAGCATGAAGGAGATGATGACTCTTAAACTGTCTAATTCCTAAATGTTGAACCAATACAACAGAATCTGGAAATATGCTCCAACAATAAGAATAATGACCTGATAAAAACTTAGGCTAAGATTTATCCAAATGAATGTCCACAACAGTCCAATGTGTAGGGACAGAAAATAGGTTGCAGGTTGCCGGAAACGGGGGGTAAGGGAGAATGGGGGCAACAAATGGGCACAGGATTTCTTTTTGTTGTGACAATAGTACAACCTGTGAATACACTAAAAACAGTGAACTGTGTATTTTTAAAGGATGAAGTTTATGGGGTGTGATTTATATCTCAATAAAAAATACACAAGACAAAGTCATTAGGCAAATACTGTTTGAGTAGATCTATTATCTATCACCCACTGTGACTATCCTGCTTGCTTGCATATGGCAAATCCATTTCTCTAAATGATGGATTTACATCTTAAACTACTAGTATTAGAACCTTGAAATGAACAGGGTACTCAGTTACCTCTTGCAACAATGGAATAACAGCATGCAGGGGCATCCTTAACACAGTCCTCTTTATTAGGTTTAAATTCCTAGTTTGAAGTACTTTCTGTAAGAAAATAAAAGAAATATAAGCATACTCAGAAGCTAAGAACACTACAGAAAAAAACTGTCAGTAAAATAATTTTAAAAACCAAGCAATAAACTACGAACTGAATTTCAGCAAATAAAGGTAGGAGAGGCTGAATTAAGAATGTTATATCTTATGGCTATCAGAAAAGTACATTTACTTCAATAAACAGGTTTCATCTCTACAAACTCTAAACTTTTATGCTCTAAATGTAAAGTAATCATATAATTTGTTGTCCAAACTGGGACACTTCTGAGAATGAAAGGATTACTATGAATAATTACACCAAGATAAGTGGTGTAAACCACAACTGTCAGGCAGTAAGAGTATCTGTGGCCTAGCTATTTAGAAGTTATTCCAAATTGCAGGGCAGAAGAATGTTTAACAGGCTCTCAGAAAATTCTTATGCCCACTCAAGACAGAGGCTCTATGATAACAAATTTTTCAAATTTAAAATAAGCAAGCACAATGCAGTATGCAGATGATGTGGTGTAGATTTGTACACTTGAAACCTTATGGTTTTATTAATGAATGAGATCCCAATGAATTCAATTTTTAAAACCTTCAAAAAAATAAATAAAAATAAGTTATCCTAAACCAAGCAAAATTGTAAAAAGAATACAAAAGTTAGCATTAATTTCTGCCGGGAATATATTTAAAGAAACAACCCTAAAAACCACAGCCACTACCAAGAAGATAATACTGACAATGGGTTTCTTCTTTCACAATCTTACTGCATTATACCTGATATGTAATAAACAGTGCACACTTAAAGTGTACTATTTGATCACTTTGACATAAACATTTACACATGAAACAAACACTAATGTAAACATTCTATCGCCCTCAAGTCTTCTTGGGCCCCTTAACTTCTATACTTCCTTCCAGCCACACCCCCAGACAACCACTGAACTATATATTGGTTGGTATTTTCTAGAATTATTATATAAATGAAATCATACAATATAATATGTACCTTTTTATGCCTCGTTTCTTTCTCATGGCCTAAGTTTGCAATTCATCCATGTTGATGTATCAATAATATATTTCCTACATTGCTAAATAAGCAATTTGTTTATCCATTCATATGTTGAGGGACATGGGTTCTTCCTAGTTTTTGGCTATTACAAATAAAGTTGCTTTGACCGTTCAAAAACAAGTCTTTGTATGAACAAATATTTTTTTAGTCTCTTGGTAAATACCTAGTAGAATTGCTGGGTCTTATGGTAGATGTATCCTTAACTTTTAAGAAACTGCCAAACTGTTTTCCAAAGTAGTTGTGCCACATTACATTTCCACCAGCAAGATACAAGTTCCAGCTGTCCCACATGCTCCACTATAGATGGCACTGTCTTTTAAATGTGATCAATCTGTAATGGCTATGTAGTGTTATCTCAATGTGATTTTAATTTGCATCTGTGATGATTAATGATGTATAACAGCTTTACATGTACTTATTAGCCTTATGAATTCTTTTGTGAAGGAGCTGTTCACACTTTTACCAGCCGTTTTTTATTTGAGTTGAGCCTCATGAAGTTAAAAGTTCTTTATATAGTCTGGATATAAATTCAGTCAGACATTTGAGTTGCATTTTTCCCCAGCCTATGGCTTGCCTTTTCATTCTCTTAACAGTGTCATTTCATGAGCAAGTATTTAATTTTCATGAAGTCCAACTGACCAATTTTTCCTTCAGCATTTCACGTTTTTTATAATGCATCTAAGAAGCCTTTCTCCATTCAAGGTTTGCAAAGATTTTTCTGCTGTTTTCCTCTAGAAGTTTTGTAGGTTTTGGTTTTACATTTATATCTATGATCTGTTTTGTGATGACTTTGTAGGTTTTGGTTTTACATTTGTATCTACGACCTGTTTTGTGTCAGGTGTGAGGTAAAAGCTAAGATGTCATTTTTCCATGTGAATATTTAGAAGTTCAGCACTAGTTTCAAAGACTTACTTTCTCCACTGACTCAACTTAGTATCTTTGCTGAAAACTACCTGTGCATACTACACTAAACTATAATCAACCTTCTAAAATATACATACTCACAAACTATTTTCAAAGTAATTTTAATTTTTTAGACATGCTGGTTTCCCCTTTCAATTTGCAAAATCACCTTAGACACAAATATAAGATATTCCCATTTAAATCAAAATATAAATCAAAAAGAAACTTTATAGGTTACATATTAAAGTCACATCTATACTGAGTGGCACTGTAATAATGCTGAGTCACTAAGAATAAATGCATTTAGCAAATGTAAATTGCTTTAAGCTAATCAGGCAGTGCTTAAATCCAAACTTTTACACTTTTCTCTACAGACTGGTATCAAATTCTGGGATTTAAGAAGACCCAATTAAGTAACTTCATACAAGCAGTCACCAACTTACAAACACAGAAATGCCTCCCTTTATATAAAGTTTCTAGTACTTTTACCTCTAAATACTTCATAATATAACCCCCAACCCTCTTGAATTTTTCCCCAAACCTCCTACCCATTGCCAAGGTTCCACCTCACCGCCCCCTCACGGCCAGGGGGAAATAAGTTTCTGGAATCCAGAGTAAAAACTCAGGAACGCATTTTCCTACAGAAAAAAATATAAATTGTGATCTAGAATGCTGAGTATTATAATTCGGGTACACTACGTCTATAAGGCTTTTGTGAACTAAAGCCTAAAAACCTAGTAACAATTCTGAACAATATTTCTATGAGAAAATGCATTCCAGGTTCAAAATAATTTAATACAATCCCTTTGTAGGTTAGTGACTGTCTGTATAATGCCACCAAATTATATATATTTGATTAAACTCACAAAATATTAAATTCAAAATGGCTACATGACTACTCACTCTGTGAATGTACTATGTCAATCATTTCTAAGAAAACTTAACCATCTTAATCTGTTTAAAAACTGCTGTAATACTTACATTTAGCATTTCCAAATCATTGCTTTCTAGACCCTGGGCCAGAAGCACTGGAAAGCTGTTTGTCTGCAGGTCCTCCTTTTCTTTCCTTGAGTCTATGTTCAGCGCTCCCAGGCGCTCCTCAATGCTAGCCTGCAGCAGAGAGAGGACCGGTTAAGTTACCGTGACACCAGACAAGGCCTAAAGTAGTTTGCTCAAATTACTTTTGCTTATGTCTCAGGAGACAAAAGGCACTGACTGATTCACACCTCAACCCTGAAAAACACAAGTCTGCTCTTTCTCATTCCAAAAGAATCTCATTGTCATAAAGCCAATGTTGGAGGTAAGTGTAGTATCTATAATTGAAGTTTTCAGAGTCTAGTGCAAAAACAACTGCCCAAGAAGCCATGATTTTAAAAAGTAGTTCATAAAAATCCCTCTATATGAAGATTCAAAACAGGCAAGGATCTGGCATCTGATTACTAAAAAACAAAAGACCCATTTACACAAAAGCTTCCCCCCTTCCATAACTATCCCTTGCCATCAACCTCAGATCTGCAAAAGGAAATAAGTACTATTAAAAAAGGAGGAGGACAGTTGTTTCCAAACAATATTTGAAGTGTCTTCCTATTTTTCTCTTTATCAGTCAGTTCCAGATGGTGATTTATTTTCTGTAATATACTATAACCAAGTTTCCTTAATAAATACCTAGAATTTAAGTGTAAACAAGCATGATGAAATATGCTATACAAAAACTTAATTGTACAGAACTGACCCCTTATAAAACCAAATCTAACTACATAAATATAATGTTCTATGACTACCAAAGCAAAAAGAGATGCTTTGGTAAAGCCTCCTGTTTGGGTTATCTTATGAAAAACATTAAAAAGGCAGGAGGAACTGAAAGGGTTGGATCTAGGCCAAGATCAAGAAAGTTGCTGGCATATTATTTTTAAATATAGACATCATGTTATTGAGAAAGTTTTTATGAACAGTAATGTTATCCTCAAACCCCCACTCAACAAAGTAAGACATTTAAAATCAGGTAAGGAAACATCATAATCTTTCTCCAATTAACAGTAGAACAGTTAAAATGCTAGACAACAGGGATATATGTGGACGGAAGAGGAAAAGAGGGCTCTACATAGACAAGTACAGTAACCACAGAAGGGTTTGAAGGGTTGAGAGAAAATGAAGTTTATCAGCCCTTTAAGAAGTTATATTAACGATCACTTTTAAAGACCAACTAGCACTAAAGCAGCCAGGAGTGCTCAGACAGCCAAGAGAAGAGGCATCACTGGAACTCAGCAACATGCGAAACCCAATGAAAATCATCACAGCAAGTCCTGGCTTGATCCTTTCAATTATGTATCCAGCGAACCTAACAAATGGCAAAAACAGCAGTCTCTTTAGTAAGAGTGCTATCTTCTCCATTAACAGTGGCTTTGTATGTAAGCCACTTATTTACTTTGTGGGTAAGTCTTACAAAGGTCACAATCTAGAATTTCAGAACCTACACGGGTGGCTGGGGATGAGAGAGGATAACCGCAGAATCTAAGGAAGTCTCTGAAGTTTAAAATCCCAAGTATTCTTAAATTTCAAACTCAAAGATGGTCAGTGACTGTATTACCTCCTTTTCCCCTAATTTTCTCTTGCTCTCTACTTCTTCAGTTTGTGGAGGAGCGGGCTTGATGGCTGCACGATGACCAGGCAGCCCAGGCACCAGCACTTTCGCTTCAGAATTCATCACTGGTGTTCTCACCTGTTAACCAGGAATAGCAGGGGTGTGACAAGAAATTATGCCTTGGTCCTTGCTATATTTATCCCCAGTGAGAAAATGAACAGCTTTAAAAAGATTTTTCTACTGGAAAACTTAATATAACTTAATACGCTATTTGTTAAAGATAAATTTTAAGTGAATGTTGTTAGCAAGTAAGTTTTTAAATTATCATTTGAGAAGTCATAGTTTTAAAGCATTCAAAACCACATAAGGATAAAAACCAGAAAAAACAAAATCTACAGATTACACTACAACACACTGACTTAAAAATGTTCAAGAGTAAAGCTGTACATCTTATGACCACTGTCAGCAATTGATCTTTGCCAGAAATGCTCAGACAGCCAAGAGAAAGGTGTCATCTCTGAAACTCAGCCAGAAGCGAAACCATATGGATGTCATCATTGCATGTCCTGGCTTTCCTTTTCTCATTAAACTGCCAAACATGATACCTACATGTAGATGCCACACTGCATTCAAAATAAAGCATCGTGATGGTGCTCTTTATATGGTCTTAAGTTCCAGCCCATCATTGTTTTTTTAGGTCTTATTCCACCATGAAATATAAAATTCCTCTCAGCAAGCTATGTTCCTTTAAGTATTGAGATTAAAAAAATAATTTATTGCCTGGCCGGTGTGGCTCAGAGGTTGAGCATCAATCTATGATCCAGAAGATTGTGGTTCAATTCCAGGTCAAGACATTATGCTCGGGTTGCGGGCTCGATCCCCACTAGGGGGTGTGAGGAAGACAGCCAAAATCAATGGCTCTCATTATTGATGTCTCTATCTCTCCCTCTCCCTTCCTCTCTCTGAAATCAATACAGGCATATAAAAAATATAATAATTTATTGATAATTTGATATTGATATTTATTCAGTGATCATGCATGGGGGAGCAGGAAGAACTACATCCAAGGTCTTCAACTTCTAGCATCTATTTACTTATTCATTCAACAAATCAAGAGCACAGAAATGAAGAGTTTTATAATCTTGGTATCTAAAACCTAACCCCATGAAATTTGTTAAGATCATAAAGAGGATATTAAAGAATCTAAACATAGCCCAGCCGGGTGTGGCTCAGTGGTTAAGGGTCGACCGAGGATCCAGGCGATCAGGGTTCGATTCCCGGTCAGGGCACGTGCCCGGGTTGTGGGCTGCAGCTGATCAATGACTCTCTCTCATCATTGATGTTTCTATCTCTCTCTCTCTCCCTCTCCTTTCCTCTCTCTGAAATCAATAAAGATATATTTAAAAAAAAAAAAAAAAGAATCTAAACATAACATTACATAACAATTCAATTCATCCGAATCTTTTTTTCTCAATTTTAGTATGTAAAGCACTCACCTTTGTTATAGCTGTTTCTACTTTTGGAGCCCAGCAGTTTGAAATATCTCTTACTAAACACATGTGAGGTTCTTTGGAATTTAAAGCCTGGAAACACAATTTTAGGGGTGAGGGAGTGAAGAGAGTGTCAAACAAAGCAACTGGGAATAAGAACAAATGCAAATGCCTACTTGTACAATTTTATGACAACACAGAAGAGTATGAAAGGCTTCCACACAAAACTGTGAGCCACTCAAATGGGACAGCACTCAGATGGACAGCGCTGAGGAAAATGGGTAAACTCTAAAGACATAAGGCATTATGTTTACTTTCTTCAGTTATGAACTGCTCAAATTTTCACATGTACAGTTTTAAAAGATCAACAGATTTTTTTACATGTGACAGATTTTAATAAAAACATCAGTTCATCATCCTTGTCAGGAATTAACCTGTGCTAAGAATGGTCCCATCCCAAATTTCCTACTGCTGACCTTTCCATAAGTGAGTCAAGGACAACACTGCTGATTAACAAAATGCTGGGGTGGATATCTGGCTACGGTATTCAACAGGGGAAGTCAAATGCAGCAAAGTCCATATGTACTCATAAAGCTTTAAGGTTATATGTAATTCTCTATACCCATATAATCAATAAATATCTGGAAGGATCAAACAAACAGGAAATAATGTCTGCATCTGGAGAGGGCAGGTAGCAGGGTCCACATATGGCAAGAAGACTTACATTTACAACTTAACAATTTCCTTTTTTATTAAACTAAGTCCATGTATTAAATTTTTAAAAAGTATTTTTAAAGACAAGAGCTTGCTTGAGCATGTAATATTCCACTCACAGTCTGAGTCTTACTGAATCAATGCATTATAAACGCAAGCTTAAGAAATAACCTATTGGACATACTCATAATAACTCATCAAAAGTCTCCAAAGAAACTTTTGGTAAGAAAGAGTAAAATCATTGCACCGCCCATTACATTTCCACTTAGAAAATTCAATGGGTGCTATCACTAAGGGCTTTCTTATTAAGATTTATCTTTTGGGTACTTGGGCAAAATTCTACCGTATCTGTGCTGATCAAAAGAGCAGCCACTAGAAATATGTGGCCACATGTGGCTACTGAACACTTTCTATGTGGCCAGTCCAAACTGAGACGTGAAAAACAGACACCAGATTTCAAAGTCACAGTGCACCAAAGAGAGGAGGGGCGGGCATCAAACACCTCAAATAATGGTTTATACCGATTCACTAGCATTAAAATGTTTTGGATGTGCTGGTTTAAGTAAAATTATACATAGTTTTCACATATTAAAATAAAGCACCCAATGAAAGGTTCACGAAGGAAAATACGTCACTTCTTTTTAAGTATTCCAATAAGCAAACCAATGTATCATTTTAAAACCATTCTTTCCCATAGACTTGTTACTGCTTTACTCCAGAGTAGCATCTACGTACCACTCGCTCAATGGTGGGCTGAAACCAATTGCCATATACAAGCAACAAAGAATTTTTGTCTGGGCAAAAACCAGCTGCTAGAACAGGAATGGGTTTTGGTGTTGATTTCTTGCCTTTCCCAGGTGTCGCTATCTGGATTGTGCAGTTTGAAGTAAAGGGCTTTTTACAGTATCTAGAAGTAAAAAATAAATTAATTAATTAAAATATTTGAAATAACGTCTCATACTAACTCTTTGAAGTTGGCATGAAATGTGACCCTCCTCTGGCCTTTACACTACCATCAGGAGTGACCAGGGTCCCCAAAGCATTAGTGTCCCTGTCAGGACTTCATCTATTCCCAACCCACTCCTCACCACGAAAATCTTCCTTCAGGCCCATCTGCCCTTCTATCCCACTTCTTCAGGTCCCACAAGAGGCCCCAAGCTCCCAAGGGCTCTCTCACCACCCTGAGCTTCAGTCCCAAATGGCTATGAACATGCCCTTATCAGCCCCAACTCTAATTGCTCCCAACCACTAAAAGCCTCACCACAACTTCAGCAACATAGCTCCAGAAGCAAAATTATAGGCAAAACATAATCGACAAAATTATATCCTCACTGTCTTACATAAGAGCTCTCTCCACCTTCTTGCTCTACACGGGCTCGTCGCAGCAGCCCTCCCAAGTCACAGCTGTTTGCCCTCCAACACCTTTTGTGCCAGGGACGCAGGAAATGATTTAACATGCTCCTGTTCTTTCAACACTCCGAGACAGTCTCTCCCTCTTTCACCTCTAAAACCTTTGAAACTGTTGTCACCAGATACCAACTACCTCCCCCTCCTGCTGTCATCCAAAGACCCCTGGGTCACTCGCCCACATTTCTTAGAAGATTTTAGTGGCTCACTGTCATTCTGTCCAATGCTACTCCTGAGGAATTCCTTTCTTAGTGGTTTCTATATCCAGCATGCAGGTCGATGACTGTTCTGACACTGTCCTCCCTCAGTTCCTTAACCTTCCCACCTCCAACAACTCTGCCCTTCACTGTACCTTGGCCACTCATTGCTCACACCAGACATCCTATCACCAATAAATGTACACACGCTATAATCTCAATTGTAAGCACCCCACTATCAATCTTTCCAATTCACCCTTCCTAGTACCCTGACTCCAAAGCCATCTCTACTCGGGATTTCTGACCTCTACTTTGGCCTTTACTCCTCTGTAGTCTACTTTCAACACATCAGACAGAATGACTCCAAACTTAATGTCTTAAAACTTAGGTCACACCCCATCCATACTCTGCTTAAAATCCTTCAGTGGCTTACTGTTACTGCCCAAGTCCTCACCATGGCCCACTACTTCTGGGGCCTCAATGACACATTCTATGTACACATTTGACGACATAAATTAAGGCATCAAGTTATTAAGTTACCTCTGAGCGTAGAACTCAATAGAGGGAGGTGGGTCTTTAATTAATTGTCTATGCATCCTGAATATTTAAAATAAGTGTATATTGTTTTCACAAACAGTTTATATTTAAATTACTATACTAGGATTATAAAAGAAAAGATTATCAACTGACAATAAAAAGTTGAAATTATTTTTTTAAGTTTAATATAATTATGCACATGACTGAGTTCAGACCATTTTTATAGTATATGACAAAGATCGGCAAACCTTCTGTAAAAAAACAGATAGCATATATTTTAGTTTTTGGGGCCACATAGGGCCTCTACTGGGTTTGGCCTCCAGCCCATAATTTATTGACTCAATCTATGACTACTGTACATCCCACCTGCAACACTCCCCCATCCACCAAAACACTAGCACCTTAACTGATCCACGTGTGGTGAGGGGAAGCACTATCAAAGTTTGAAATTAAGGTGTCACCAAAAGTTCACAAGCAAAACTCTCCAACTAAACCACTTCCTTTTAAATTTTATCATTAGAACTACCAACATTTACTAAGCCTGCATCATAAAAAGCCATTCTCCCAACCACAAACATGAAGAAACAATCCATGATGCCAAAATCTTGAATTCTCACTGGGAATATACGTAGTCATATGGATAAAGAATTAAGGATGCTTTCACAACAATCTCACTGAAAAAATAATGCAAAGAATACTGAGGTGGGAGTATAAAGAGGTAACAAGGCAGGGAAGGAAAATAAATTTCTGACTTAAGAAACTTCTTACTTACCCATTTAATATGTGTTCAAACAAATGAACTTGACCGTCTCTGCAAACAACAGCTAACTTGACAGGCTGAAAGAAAAATGTAACTGATTAATAAATGTACTTCAGCATACTCTAATGGACAATTACTTCCATAATATACTTACAAAACTTCAATTCTCCTCCCCATCCTTTAAATAACCAGAGAAAAACAACAGCAAGGATGCACAGCTTTTGCATTTAAAAATAATTACTGTCTTTGAAATAATTCGAGTTGTCCAGCTTATAAATAAAGAAGATAACACAGTCAAGGAAAATGTAGCTTGGAAGTTAGATGAGTGAAGTCACTCTCAAGTGCAGAGGCTGACAACAGGAAACTGGTGGGCCCCACATGTAGTAGTCAGGACTGCTGAAAGTGCCACTGCACCCGGTCCCTTCCCCTCAGGAGAGCTGACCACGGTGACCTAATGGTTACTTCAAACAGTCTAAGAAGATTTTTTGTTATATTTCGTTCTTTCTCCCCCTCCTTCCCTATTCATTAAATCATCAAAACTCATTTTAAAAATATATGTGAAATCCAAAAACAAATTCTCAAAAATTGAGCCATTTACCTCTTCTTTGTTTTCTGACAAAGTCAAGTCAATATAGACAGGTTCATCTGTAACTGTGAAAGACATCACTGCATTCTTTTGTTTGCTTTCTGACCGGACCTGCCTAGATCACAAAACCAATGATTAGAGAGTAAAACAGGTTTTATTTTTTAAAGGCATACACCTAAAAGGAGTCACAGCATTAGATTCCCAATCATTTTTCATCTTTTGAAAACTAGTTAGGTGACTAAGGATCAAAACAACGGAAGCACTTGTATCACTACCATATAACATGGTTGCATGGGAAAGGAGAAAGCACTAATGCATTTCTGGCAGATTTAAACAATGGGTAACATTCTCTGTTCTTTTCCATTAAAACCTATTTATCTATCTTGATTGATGCCAACACCACACTGTCTTTATTACTGTAGCTTTACAAGCCTTGAAATCAAATGAGTCCTCCAACATTTTTTTTCTAATTTTTTTTTAACCCTCACCCAAGGGTATTTTTCCATTGCTTTTCAGAGAAAGTGGAAGGGAGAGAGAGAAAGAACAATGCGAGAGAAACACACCAATTGGCGACACCCCCCATGCACAATGGGGGCCAGGGATCAAGCCTGCAACCAAGGCACGTGCCCTTGGCAGGAACTGAACCCAGGACCTGTCAGACCTCGGGCCGACACTCCCAACCGCTGAGCCAAACCAGCTAGGGCATATTTTTCTTTTTCAAATTCGTTTTAACTATCTCTGTCCTTTGCATGTCCACTGGAACTTTAGAATGAGATTGCCAATTTCTACTTGGTCTGCTGAGATTTTGACTAGGTTTGCACTGAACCCATTAGTTAATTTGAGAATTAACATCACAGCAATACTGAGAAAAAGAATGCAGAAGTGCATGCACATGCACACACACACAGACACATATACAAATGATCTCATTTTCTGTTCATTCCTTATTTGAGAATTCATTTACTTGTCAAAATGTATTTGTAAGCCTCAAAATCAGTATTTGTGGAGCTTTCACAGTCTGTAACGGGTACGCACACAGGCAGTGAAAAAAATGAGTTGGCTAGCACTCACGAGGTCAAACAAGGCTATGCTCTGCCTTCTTATTTCAACTCTCTTTCTGTGGTGTATTTAGTGCTGTATTTTTTGCTTTTGTGATTTCTGCTGGTGATTTTACTGTTTAAAATGGCCCAAGTGTAGTAGTGAAGTGTTGTCTACTAAGAGCAAAAAGGCTATGATATGCATTATGGAGAAAATCTCTGTGTTACATAAACTGTTCTCACATAAGTCAACCAACAATAAACACAGGTATTATCTTGGAGACTTTGTGTGTTCAGCTCCAGATCACCCCAATAAAGCAGGTACTGCAATACAGCAAGTTGTGCTCGTGGAGGCATCTGTGAAGTACAATAAAGCGAAGCATAATAAAACGTGTTGCCTGTGTGTGTGGTGTGTGTGTGTGTGTGTGTGTGTGTGTGTGCGTGTGTGTGCATGTGTGTAAAATTGGGTATCTTTAAACACAAATACACATAAAACAAGGTTATATATTAATTAGATGACAAAAATGTGACCAGAGAGGCTGTAGAAACCTACACCTGTGTTTCCCCGAGGAGTAATAGTTCGGTATCACTAAATCAGTGCTCATGAGAACTTCATACAGCATAATTACAGTGAGTAATGAGAACCGATTGTACATGTATATACATGGATATGTGCAAAACCAACTCAATGGAGATAGCTTTTCAACAAGCCATACTGGGACTGTGCGATAACCATAATGCAAAAACATGAACATCAATCCAGTCCTCACCACACATACATATTAACTCAAAACAAATCATGGAACCAAATGTAAGAGCTAAAACTATAAAACTACTAAGAAAATCTTTGTGACCTTGGGTTAAGCAAAAATTTCTAAACATAATCTGGACTTCATCAAAATTAAAAACATCTTTAAAAAGATAAGTCACACACAAAAAAATTATATACATAAATGCACAAGCCATGGACACAGACAATAGTGTGGTGAAGGCCTGGAGCAGGGTAGGAGTGAATGGGGAAAAAAGAGGACATTTGTAGTTCTTTCAACAAAATTAACTTTTACTTTTAAAAGTAGTTTCAAAAACATAGCCAAGGAATTTAATGTCCTCAGTAAACCATCAGTAAATAGACATTACTGTACTAACCCAGTAGTTATCTATTTCAACAAACTCAGATATTCTCCTAAAATTTTTTTAAAGGTTAGTTTTAAATTGCCCAGTCATAAAAATATTCAGCTCACTACACCTCTAACAAGCATAGAGAAAATTCTATTATATAGTGCTCTTAAATTTTTCTGATATAGACCTGTTTAAGGCAGGCTCAGTTCTTCATTACAAGTCAATATAAATCTAACATTAACTACAATAAAGCAAGTCTCGTATTCATCATTTATATTAACCATATAAGCTGTGACAGATTCTTTCAAGGCAAAGTTACCTCCCAAATCCAAAAAATTACATACCAGACATTAAGTAACCGGTCATGTACTGCTCCAGATAAAAAATAAAGACCTGTAATTCCATCAAAGGGTTGGCTCTCGTTAGGTGGTCTGATAGTAGTGAACTTAAGTGATGAAACTGGCGCTGCATGTCCCGTGAAGTGCTAAAAAAAAGGTTACATCACATTTAAAAGATGGATACAAAACAGTAAAAAAAGCTGAGTCCATATGTATCATAAGATATGTCATACATTTAAAATCAGAGCTCCAGACTAAAGGCAACAAACTTAATTCTAAGCAACTGAGGTTAATTGTGCTATCTTCACTTCTTAAGAAGTCCATGTGAAATTAAGGTGTTCCTTCTAACATGACAGTACTCCACATTCTGTATTTCCACTTTTCAGTTAAAGATCCACTTAATTCTATCCATTTTTAAAGGGGTAAGACAAGGTGCTCAGACACAGCCAAGGAATTGTAGGTCTTCATTTTACTCTCAGTGAGTCGAAACCACAATTTTAAGGCATCATCATAGCACCAAAAGTTCAGTAACCCCTGAGCACTCTCAAATCTAATATTGTCTCCACAGTTAAATACTGTAAGTGGACCAAATGTTGGACGCAAGCTAGAAATCAAAATCACTGCATAGTAAAAGATTTCTAATTGATATGCCACCTATTTGTTCAGTTCATTTTCCCAATGCATGTGAGTGGACATGTATAACTTATTTAATATTTAACATCAACAAACCAGATTTGGAGGCAAACTTTTGTCTATTAATTCTATTTGATATACTTAAAAATAAAGAATCTATGTGTTTTTAATATATCTTTATTGATTCCAGAGAGAAGAAGGAAGAGGGAGAGAGAGAGAGAAACATCAATGATGAAAGAGTCATTGATAGGCTGCCTCCGGCACGTCCCCCACTGGGGATCAAGCCCGCAACCCGGGCATGTGCCCTGACCAGGAATCGAACTGCGTGCGATCAACCTCCTGGATCCTTGGTCGATGCTCAATCACTGAGCCACGCCCGGCTGGGGAAGAATCTGTATTCTTAAAACCACGTACTATGGTTCATAGCCTCTACATTTCTCCATACTTACTCTAGATGACTATTATGTTTAGAACTAATTTGATTTACTCACTCTGTAGACTTCTTTGGTCTCCAAAACCCATAGTTTGATTGTTCGACCAGCTGAAAGCAACATCTTTCCATCTGGGCTGATACACAGGGCACTAACGCTGCTATTGTCACCTTTCCATTTGCTGTATTGTGAAGAGAAACAAAAACATCTCAATAGGAAGAAAACTTTATTCAGGACAGAAACATAACAAAAAACAAACCGGACGTTAAAAATACCACCTAAGGTTCTATGCCAAACTGCATTCCCTAAAAACTATGGCAGAAACTAACCTTGAACATATCACTAAGGTAAAGCCTCCCTGACAGGACTGGTTCTTTTTTGTTTTAGTTTTATTTTTTTTTTTTAAATATATCTTTATTGATTTCAGAGAGAGGAAAGGAGAGGGAGAGAGAGAGAGAGAAACATCAATGATTGATCGAGCCCACAACCCGGGCATGTGCCCTGACCGGGAATCGAACTGCGATCTCCTGGATCCTAGGTCGACGCTGAACCGCTGAGCCACGCCCGGCCGGGCAGGACTGGTTCTTAAGAGGTATCAGGAAATAGTTAAAAGTTATAAGAATGTAGCCAGGCCAGGCATGGCTCAGTGGTTGAGCTTTGACCTAGGAGCCAGGAGATCGCAGTTCGATTCCCGGTCAGGGCACATGCCTGGGGTGCTGGCTCAATCCCCAGTAAGGGGTGTGCAGGAGGCAGCCAATCAAGGACAACTCTCTCATCATTGATGTTTCTCTCTCTCCCTCTCTCTTCCTTCCTCTCTCTGAAATCGATATTTAAAAAAAAAAAAAAAAGAGTTGTAAGAATATAAAATGGGTAGTTGTATACCCTGTGATCCATAAGGTGGACTTTGTTAATACCTAGGAAATTACCGTGCTGACTGGAACTCTACAAGTCCATCCTATCCCCACCATGGTTCCTACATGCTCTGGAGGGCTGGCTTTTAATTTGCCAATAATATAAATGATTCCTCAAATTAGAGTCCAAAAAGGCTATTTCATCCCAAATCCACACAAATGAGCACCACCTGATAGAGTAAAATAAATTAAGTATTTTAACCTCAAATATAATCAGCAGCATGAATCTTTGTAGTCTGCTGCACACATTAATACTGTCAGCAGGGAGCTTAGTTACTCACTTATAAATCAAGAAATAACAGTAGCAAACTTATTACCAAAAGAGGTTAACTGTAAAGTGAAGAAAATGTACTGCTCTACCAGTCACATCGGAATACGTCGAATCACTGAAGACCCCTGCCTTATGACACACACACACTTCACTAAGCAAGTGCTGAAAATACATAGAACAGTATTATAACCTTAGGGTTAGGAAGGCTTTCCAAAGCAATTACAAACCAGAAACCATAAAGGAAAAAATGACCTGATTTATATCTGTACCACAAAATAAGTGGTAAAATAAAAGCAAAAGGCTAGGAGAAAATATCAAAGATATATATACTATAGACAGAATATTAATACTTAGAACAAACAGCTCCTTGAGCTCAAGAAAAAGAATTCAAAATAAAAACAGACAAAGGATGTAAACAGGCAATTCACAGAAGACAAATTTTCCATAAACATGAAAACACCAACTTCGCTAGTAATCAAGGAAAAGCAGCAATAATGTATGAGAACTTTTCCTTTACCATCATCAGTTCCTAACATTTTTAACAATTTCTCATCAATTCCCACGGCTTCAACACTCACTTGTATTCATTATTCAGCATCTATTCACTGAACTGATACATATATAAAGACCTAAGACATGATCCTCTCCGATTCAGCATTGAACATCCCCATTCAGCACTGAAAATGCCAGCACAGATCTAATACAGCCACCACCTCCTCCCTCCCCCATTAAGAGCTTTGCAAATCAAAGTGTAACCCTCCTATATCAACATCACCTGAGAATTTGTTAGCACAGGCTTCCAAGCCCCAATCTAGACCTATTAAATCAGGTCTGTATGCACAAGTACTGGATATGCACAGTAGAGCTTGAAAAGCACAAGATCAGAACACTACACCCTGGGAAATGTGATTGGTTCCACAGGAATGACCCACACATACTGACATCTGAAGGCCACCTAATCACTCTACAAATGAAGCCCAACAATTGCGCCATACAACACACACAGTCCTTCCAATCAGATTTTTAATGTTTCATTTTCAATATTAAAAGCCAGCCAAAGACTGCACTCATTTGAAGGACATCTTTAACATTAAAGACAGAGGCCAAAATCAAAACTCAAAACACATCCTCCTCAAGAGGGAGCTAATGTAAGGAACAAAAGAAACATTAAACCCTACAACTAATACCTTTAGGTTTAGAATATATTATATGCAACAAAAAATATTCAGAGAATAAAAAATGGTTCCTGTAAGTTAAAAATACGGTAAGTGAAATTTAAAAATGCAATAGAAGCCTTGGAAGGTAAAACTGAAAAAATTCCCCAGCTAACAGAAGAAAAAGACAAAAGGGAAAAAATGACAGAAAAACGTACAAAACTTAAAGGATTACTCCAGGAGATGCAACACCTAAACAACAGCGAGTACTAGAGAAAGATTTAAAAAAAACAGAGGGGATGAACACAGCACAAGAAAAATGAAGAACACAGATTTCCAGGCTAAATGGTCCCTCGAATGTAACTATAATTCAATGGTTTTAAAAAAACAACTACTCAGGATATTTTAGAGTACTAAGAATAATTAACACTGAAAGCTATAAAACCAATGCTTCAAAATCCTTAGGGAAAATTATTTCCAACCTAAAATTATATATCCTCAAACAATGAATCAACTGTGAGGCTAGAATAAAGACTCTCATGGACAGGCAAAATCTCAATAAATTTACCACCCATGCACCCTTTCTCAGGAAGCTACCAATTTGTTTGCTTCACCAAAAGGAAGGAGCAAAACAACAAGGAAAAATGGAATTTAGGAAATAGAGGTTACATCTGACAAGAGAATTTTCAAGATGACAGAAAAAGGAAATCCCAGGACAACTGCTTATTCAGCAGACCCTGGAAGAAGGCAGAAGTCCTCCAAGAAATAAATATAACTGTAGGAAAGCCTCCAAGAAATAATAAAACTGATGTGTCTAAAAATAACTGAAAGCCCAGCCAGGGGTGGCTCAGCGGTTGAGCGTCAACCTAGGATCCAGGCGATCAGGGTTCCATTCCTGGTCAGGGCACATGCCTGGGTTGCGGGCTTGATCCCCAGTTGGGGGCGTGAAGGAGGCAGCCGACCAATGACTTTCTCATCATTGATGTTTCTATCTCTCTCTCTCTCCCTCTCCTTTCCTCGCTCTGAAATCAATAAAGATATATTTTTTAAAAAATAAAAAAATAAGAATTACTACTATAGAAGAGAGAATGAAATGATTGGTACAAATTAAGCAATGCATAGTATGTCCTTTGAACTAGCTCCTTCCATATTCAGACATTGATGAGATTACTTTTTCCCAAAGCATTATTTTGGTTACTTTATTTCCAAGACTCTGCCCTTCTGGTAAGCAAGGCTCTCTCCTGCTTACCAGAGAGCTGTCCGTGATTTTTACCTGACACTTAAGGCCAGACTCTTAAGATACTTTGGCCCATATCCTCTACCAGCATAACCTCCTAGTAATGTCCCTCCTCTACATTATCAGTTCTAAGTAAACCTTTCACTTCCCTTTCTCCTAGCCTTTGCCATTTCCCTACCTTCCTTTTCCCATCCTCAAAAGGATTCTCTCACCCTCTTCTATCCAAATCTTACCTATCCTAGAAAGCCCAAGAGAAATCCCTTCTTTTCCATCAGGCCTTCCCAACACTCCCCTACTCATGTTACCAGTAATCACAAGCTACCTGATGACATCTCTTGAGCAGTTATCTCTTGTATCATTATTTAACTTTTATGTATATTAAAGTCTTGTATGCAAGATTTGATTAAAAGTTCCTTGAGAATAGTCTACAGCCTTAATAGTGTCAACATTCCCCACTATGTCCAATATCAAATTTTACTTATAGCAAGAATACAGTCTTGGGGAAGAAGAAGGAAAAAAAAAGAAGTCTTGATTTGTCAAATTCTAATGCATTTCCAAACAGAAACCAAGTCACTCCTCCAGTACCATAGAATCATCAGTGTTACTCACCACTTTACTTTGCAGGTCTGTGTATTCCACTCCACAATATGTTTATCATCTGAACAACTATACAAACAGCCATTGTCTTGATGCCACTGTATGCAATTGACTTTGTTGTCATGTCCACCGCTCTGTATTTTTAAAAAAAAAAAAAAAATTAAAGGAAAAAAACTTGTCTGATATAATATGGTAATACGCACCCTGGAATCATCACTAAACAGTTAAATAAAATGTTAGGCTTTAACCTAACTAAAAAAGCCTACATCTATCCATTTCCAACATCAAAAATAAGATAAATCAGCTATAACTTCATCAAATGTTAACTTACCCTTCTCTGCTGGAAAAACATACTTCTACATGCTAAGGTAAAGGATCCTAATCCTAACTGCCACTGCTTTTGACAGGAATGCCAGCACAAAGCATGGGACATACTTCATATCTAGTGGCAGAAAGTTTGTGACACTTGAGTGAACTAGTAAAGTCAAATCCTAAAGAGTTTAAAGTCAGCATTTAAATCGTTTGCGGGTAGTTTCTATCGCGCGCTCTACTACCAGTCAACATAAAAACGTATAAATACGTTTTTCCCGCAGACAATGTGTTAAGGTAAAAATCATGCCACCAAAACTATCATTGAAAATCCTTTTTAAAAAGTGCCAAAACTATCAATAAAGAAATCACTGTTGTGGGGTTTTTTTCAGGAAAACACTAACTGTTTCCTTGTTTTTAGATCATATTATTCTCAGCATGGCAAGATGCTCACTCACTGAGAGGCACAAGATTAAAAATCAGATAAAAAAATTTCACCTATTAAATTAGCTGGGTTTTTGTTAAGTCTTACTGCCGTTTTAATGGGAATATTCAATGGTGGTAATACCGCTGCTGGTACCATCCTTCCATTGCTGATATAAGCGGAAATTAGAACTCTTCCGGAAAGTATTTTTATACTATATATAAAACACCTTAACATTCAAAACCTTTGACTCATTAATTGCAGGTTAATTCTGGGAATCCATGTAAGAAAAAAAAATTATAACCACCAAATTAAAATCCAAAACCACCTAAATGGTAATAGTTAAATCACCAAGGGACTATCCAATTTAATGGTATTTTAGGCAGTCATTAAAAATGCTTATAATTAGTTCTTGACAAAAATGAAAATTGTTCATGTTGTAATATAATGGAAAATATCAGGATACAAAATAGGTGAACAGACGGAACCCAAATGTACTTTTTAAATATATGCATAAAGCAAAGAAATGCATAATCTATTAAACAGAGGATCTTTTGGTGACAGATTTAGGTACAAAATTTTTCCCTGTTTGCCCAGCCGGGCGTGGCTCAGTGANTCCTAACTGCCACTGCTTTTGACAGGAATGCCAGCACAAAGCATGGGACATACTTCATATCTAGTGGCAGAAAGTTTGTGACACTTGAGTGAACTAGTAAAGTCAAATCCTAAAGAGTTTAAAGTCAGCATTTAAATCGTTTGCGGGTAGTTTCTATCGCGCGCTCTACTACCAGTCAACATAAAAACGTATAAATACGTTTTTCCCGCAGACAATGTGTTAAGGTAAAAATCATGCCACCAAAACTATCATTGAAAATCCTTTTTAAAAAGTGCCAAAACTATCAATAAAGAAATCACTGTTGTGGGGTTTTTTTCAGGAAAACACTAACTGTTTCCTTGTTTTTAGATCATATTATTCTCAGCATGGCAAGATGCTCACTCACTGAGAGGCACAAGATTAAAAATCAGATAAAAAAATTTCACCTATTAAATTAGCTGGGTTTTTGTTAAGTCTTACTGCCGTTTTAATGGGAATATTCAATGGTGGTAATACCGCTGCTGGTACCATCCTTCCATTGCTGATATAAGCGGAAATTAGAACTCTTCCGGAAAGTATTTTTATACTATATATAAAACACCTTAACATTCAAAACCTTTGACTCATTAATTGCAGGTTAATTCTGGGAATCCATGTAAGAAAAAAAAATTATAACCACCAAATTAAAATCCAAAACCACCTAAATGGTAATAGTTAAATCACCAAGGGACTATCCAATTTAATGGTATTTTAGGCAGTCATTAAAAATGCTTATAATTAGTTCTTGACAAAAATGAAAATTGTTCATGTTGTAATATAATGGAAAATATCAGGATACAAAATAGGTGAACAGACGGAACCCAAATGTACTTTTTAAATATATGCATAAAGCAAAGAAATGCATAATCTATTAAACAGAGGATCTTTTGGTGACAGATTTAGGTACAAAATTTTTCCCTGTTTGCCCAGCCGGGCGTGGCTCAGTGATTGAGTGTCGACCTAGGATCCAGGAGATCAGGGTTCGATTCCCAGTCAGGGCACATGCCCGGGTTGCAGGCTGCAGCTGATCAATGACTCTCCCATCATTGATGTTTTTATCTCTCTCTCTCCCTCTCCTTTCCTCTCTCTGAAATCAATAAAGATATATTTTAAAAAAAATTTTCCCTTTTCAATATTATGTACGTTACTTAAGAGAGAGAAGTTTTATTCATATCCACAGAAAGCATTGCTATATAAAATATAATACAATAGATATTGTATGAAACAAACTATATCACTTAAGTTACTGTCTTGCAGGCCAAACCCTCACTTCTCTGCTCTGCAATGCTGGGGCTGGGATTCTGCAAACCACATTTCTGCTCTGCCAGCTGGATGGCCAGTAGGCTGCACCAATAAGAGATGCTAAGGGAGACAAAGCTAGAGGAGGCACAAGAGACTTATTCTTTCCTGTTTCCCTAGTTTTCATCACCCCAACACTTCTTCACCCCAGTAGTGACAATCCTTTTAGCAGTGGATGAATGTAATTCTTCCAGGACTTGGAGAACCAGTTTCACCTCTCTTCCGAGATACCAGCAATTGGCTGGAGCCCCATCCTCAGAGCTCTGGACCCCAAGCCCATAGGGCCAACTCCAGCTCAAGAAACAGCAGCACAAAGAGAAACACCTGCTCCTCAATGGTCTGAGTTTCAGCAATAATTCAACTATCTCCTGTGTTCTCTACCCTAGAGATGATGGGGCTCCTTCCTGCAGTCATTATTTGTGATACTTAGAATTCCTTTTATCCTTTCTTATTTTCAATCTAGTCAACAACTTTTCATATTCTGATCTATAAGAACTGTTACCTATCATAGCTATGATTAAGTATTACTATTCAGAATTTTAAACGTGGAAGGAGCAGAAAACTGCTCCCTAGTGCAGATCATATAGCACATCCTGAAGTTTTTATTTAATAAATCTCTAATATACCAGTCATATCTCTTTTATATAACATATACACATACTTACTACCAATTTACTGTGTAATTCTCCTTTTACTGTACTGTATAATAAAATACTACCAACTGCTGTACCAAGAGCCAACAAGTCAATCTGGTTACTCGTTTCTATAGGTTCTGATTTCCTTTTTTTCCTCTGTGGACTTTCCTAAAAATAAAAGAAAAAAAAACATACACATAATGTTTATTTTGTACTTCAAACACTGAAATATTATTAATGCATAAATGCAAATACCCAATAGCCCACAAGTGAAACATGATTGCTGCTAAGGGACGTTACTTTAAAAAAAAAAAAAAAAAAAGTAGAACCCAGCTAGGCTTGGCTCAGCAGTTAAGCGTTGGCCTAGGATCCAGGAGATCACAGTCTGATTTCCGGTCAGGGCACGTGCCCAGGTTGCAGGCTGGATCCCCAGTTGGGGGCATGCAAGAGGCAGCCAATCAATGAATGACTCATCATTGATGTTTCTCTCTCCTTCTCTCTAAAATCAATAAAGATACATTTTTTAAAAATTAATTTAAAAAAAAGTAGAGATAGGATTTCCACTTTTTCACTACTTAGATAAAAGAAAAAACAAACCACTCCAATAGAAGAAGAGCTCATAATTCTCGTCCCCCATCTCCTACCTCTGGAAGGCAGGCATCAAATAGGACAACTTGGTGTGTTCTTAGTATTCTTACAGGTCTAACGCTCCGCTCCCAAGCAAGATGGCAGATCCATACCTAAGCAGCCAACAATTCCTTCCCCCTTTCCCTCTCATCTTTCTTTTCATTCTAGCTTTGCTCTTAGGAAAAGGGACACAAATGTTTTTATATTTATAAAAGGCATTTACTTCAATTTGAGTGAAAAAATAGCTGTAACTAATAGAGCAGCACAGAGCTCTACAAACCAGAGAAGTTGCTCCACTGTCTGGTTAAGTGCTGGTCTGCAAGTTCCATGTTGTCTTGTGATTCCAATGACAAAGAGGCACAAGTTTAAGTCTAGTGTCAAATGTGACAATACTTGGATTTATTTCAAAAATAACAGCTCTTATTTGCCCATCAAAAGACAATCAATGGTCCCAATTTCAGAGTACTATATCAGTTCATAATGCTAAAAAATTCTAATTTCAGAACTTATCTTCCATGCTTATAATTTTTTTAAATTAAAGCTTACCGGCCTGTATTTTAGCAGAAAGAAGCACTGAGAAATCCGTTCTTTTAGCATAAAACAGACCAATACTTTAGGAAAGGGTATATTTTCTCAATAGTGCAAGATCTTTTCTCTACAGCACAAAAAGCAGTCCAGGATACCTAAAAATCTGCTCACCCCAAAACCCACCAATGAAAACTATGTTACCAGTGCATAAACAATATCAAGGAATTGATTTAAAAAGCATCTTCCATTTTTTTCTTTATGTTATCTTATGAAGATGGTACATTTGAAGAATTTGATTCACCTGGATACACTTGTCAACAACAATGAAAAAGATTTAACTAAAAAGAGGGTAACATTCTACACACAGAAAAAATAATGCACATTTGCAAGTCCTGAAAAATGTATCAAATGTTCATAAACCCAAAATAGAAGTTACAATTAAAAGCCAAAGTATAAAACAATCTGATAATCTCAAGAGTAACATTTAATTTGCTTGAAGCATTGAAACTTCAGCACAAGGCTTGTCCTAGATCCCAGTTTCGGTTAAATGAATTTCTATAGCCCCTTCTGAATGGTCCCAGAAAGCAAATGTGCTTTCTGCATAAGGTTATGAACAAAAACACCTATTTCAGGCAAGGATAATGGGGAAAGTATATCAATCTATTACTACCTCATCAGGAAACTATGAAAGATTCTAGGAATTTGCTTCTGGTTTTCCCAAATCAAATTAGAATTATCTACACTGAGGTTTCTAACATGTAAAACAGAGGCTGGTGGAAATATGTATAGTATGTTTTTCCAGATTTGAATTTGCATTTAAAAGCAAAGAAATTTAGAAATTAAACATCAACATATTAAAAGCTTTAGTTTCCCTATCAGCAAAATCTGTGTTTTGGGGAGAAGCAAGCAGAATGAACAAGTGGGAGGAGCATCCACAAAATCTATGTCCAATTTTGAGGATTACTGATCTAAACCTAAATAATAATCCAATTAATTAATTTCAGAGAATTACTGACTCATGTATGTTTTCTCAGAGTTGGATGATCTTTTTAAAAATAACCATTCGGCAGGATGAACATGTCCAAACATGTAACACATCAACCAGATAAAGTTTAAATAACTAATGTGCATTTTAGTGAACTCTAACAATTAAAGCACTGCCCCATTACTAAATACCTCTGAAACCAAGAGTTTAGTGTTGCTGCTGATTACAGATTATGAAAGATTTTGTTGGCATTTTCTATCTGAACCAGTTATTCCTGTGGTCAAAAACTTCAATGACTCCCCACAGAAGAGTGAATCAACATAACTCTCCAGCATTCAAAAGCATCCACAATTTGCCTCCAGCTCACCTTTTCCAGCCTTATTTTCAATTCCATCGTTACATTACACTCCCTAATCACAAATAAGCTTTCCCATTTTGCCTTCGTTTTTCCCTGCACTTGGAGGGGCCTTTTCCTATTCACCTCAATATTTACTTGGTTAAAAAAAAAAAATCTATCCATGCTTCAAGGTCTGCTTCAATTACCGTTTTTCCACAAAAACCTCTTCTTTCTCTTAACGCACAAGTCATACTCTGCTTTGCACTACAGACGCAACGTATCTGAACTGTCTTTATTTTAGTCATAGTTTTGTTTCCTCTACCATGCCTAGCAAGATGTCATGTGCACTTAAGTTGTACATGTAAATGTATGAAGTAATGGAAAGGATAGGCTAAAAACTGTTCATATATGTATTTGTGAAGGGAAAATCTGAGTTCCTGAAGGTATCAGGGGTGAAGACGAAAAGGATATGATTGTTTTAGAATAGCCTTTCTCAATGTGAAAGTGCGACTGAGATAAGAAATAAATACCAATACCAGTCTGAAGACAGCTTATAAGAATTTGATCCAGAAGGCAATAAGGAGGCTGAGTGAGACTGAATGGTACATATGAATAATTTATAAAGGCAAGGCACAGTACATGTGGTGGGTGAAAAGCACATCCAGGTAATGAGAAGTCTGAATTTGATCAATTCAGCAATGACTTTTTAGATTGAGATCCCAGAGTAAGAAAAGCATTTACATGGAGAGCCAGTGCATACTCATCAGAACATGTATATATACAACTGAAAGAAGTTTCAACCAAAAAACATATCCTTTACCATACAAAATACACTCTAATATTGTGCTATGCCATCACAATGCACTAACTCTATTTCACAATCCCCTAATGGATCAAAACCTATTTTTGAAAAATAATGACCTCTAGACACTGAAAATTATGCCAAAGTTTCAAGTTTCATTCTGCAGTCTCCTACGCCATTTCTTGGCCTTAGTCACTTACTCTGGCAAATGTTTCATGCATAACAATGAACAAAAATGTGTGCATTTTATATATAACTACATACAGTACTTATATCAAAAACAATTAAATTCTAAAACACAGAAATGTCAATTTCTGCCAATGGGATCTGATCTGCAAACTTTACCTTCTTCTGAAGTTTAAATACTGGAGAGACCTTAAGACAGAGCATTGTACAGGAACACAATTGGATTGTGCTACATCTTTAAGGGATAGGAGTGGGGATGCTCAACTCAGATTTTTCCCAGAAGCATCCTTTATGCTACTACGCTTACCCTGTCCAATGTCTGAAATGCCATGTGCTTCATTCAACAAGCACGAAGCTGTGTGAGTGTGCTTTGCAGTGACAGTAAAGCAGCATAAATACATTTATTGTGGTAGCCAATAGTAGACAAGGTCTATTTCTCCAGGACTCTACAGCAGTTAGGGAAGGGAAAGGAGAAAAGTTTGAGAGATTTAAAGAGGGATTGAAATAGCAAGTCAGTTCCTAGGTGGTTCAGCCACTTACTGTTTGGCTCTGGCCTATCAGCCTCAGTTTCCACACCTAAACCTCAGGAGCTCCAACAATAGCATCCACTCATAGTCCACCAACCTGTCTCCTTCCTGTACTTTTCTTGTCATCATTAGAGGTCCTCTTTGCCCAGGCTCCATCAACCAAATGGAAATGCTCAGCTATATAATATGCATAAAAACTCTTTAAAAACTATTGTGGCATAGATGCAAAATATTATAAACATTCTGTGACTGAGAACAAGCAGCACTCCAATTTTTCTATACACTTATAAACTGCTTTATCTCCTGTTACCCAAGAAAAACAGCACCAGCTCATTTTTTCTCCATTAATAACATCGCCAAACTTTGTCCTTGGGTGGTTAATTGCCAATTACTGAAACAGAGGATACTCTTAGGAACTGATTTGCACTGAGAAATGTAGTGGTAAATGATAAATGAGCCCAACTGGAACACTCCTTGACTCATTCAATAATAGCTAACATTTACTGAGCATTCACTACATGCCAGGCCGCGCTACACCAGTCATAGTACCTCTCAACTCCAGTGGCCATAACTACTTCATTGGTTATTAAAGCTTTAGTGAAGTCATTTAAACTTAGTTCTGATTCTGTTTTTAAAAATGTAATAACTTCATGGCATTTCAGAGAGTTGTGTGGCTAAAATGAGAGAATATAGGCAAAAGGAAACAAAAACTATAAAAACTTTTTAATGTAATCCAACTCACTTTTCAATGCCCCCAAAATTAAAGTGACTTGCTCAATGTGGCAAAACCAAGTTTGATTTGAGTCCCGGTTATGAAACCAAATCCAAGTATTTTTCTATTGTATCAGAGTGTTATATTTAATTCAGAACTATGACTTTTAACAGGAAATTTAAGACTAAATAAACGTTTTATTCCTGAGGCATACAATGTAACTGTAAGTGAACAGAAAACTAGAATGGGCAAAAAAACTTTGCCAGCCTAATATGAACTATCTGTTGCAGATAATAAAGAACTGAGACCTAAATACCTGAGTCCAGGTTCAGTTTTTGGCTTTTTGCAAGTTGCTTAATTTTCCAGAGCCTCTGTGTCTTCTTCCCAAACAAGGCAAAAAGTTAGTCTTTACCTTGCAGGGCTAACCATACAAATATGACACTAAAAGTAACAAAATTTGCAGCACCTAC